ATGAACAAGATGAACATACCAGGATGCAAGCACATGTGTGCATGCATGTCTGTGCACCCACATGGGTTTGTGTGTGAATTTCCCTCACAACTTTGAATAGTCTCAGCCTTTGACAGGCTCTGAGGGAAGATCTCCAAGTGGTTCCCCGTGTTGTCACTATAGCAACCCACACTATAGATGAGGAAACGGAGGTTCAGAGAGGTCCAATCACTAGTCTGTCGTCAGAGCAAGAGAGGAGCTGAATTGTGGCTTGGAGGGAGGTCCGGCCGCTCAAAAGCATCGGAGTTGAGAGGCGTCTGAGGTCCTTCCACTGGCTGAGAACGGTGGCCTCCCAAGCCTTTTTCTCCTCCTGGCGGGTTCTTTCCTCCTTTCCCAGAAGCCTTTGCAAAGCTCCTTATCCTTAGCTGCTCCGCTCCTAGGTCTGCTGTCTCCCGTTTCCTGCAGGTTACTGTGCAATGAGCCACTTCCCGGCTTGGTCCCTCCTGGGCGCACAGCCGGGGCCTCGGGTGCACGGCCCGGGTCTACCTTCAAAGTCTGGGGCCAGGCCCCCCCGCGAGGTGTTTGCAGAGCCCCAGCTGGCCTCCCCCGGCCAGAGCCACACTGGGACACGCTGGAGGCCTTGCACTGAGGTGGGACACCTTGCAGAGGCTCCCTAGTGCGGTTCTCTAGCCCACCCTCCCATCCCCCCAAGCCGCCCAGCCCGAGACCAGTGTCCGCCAGACCGGAGTCGCCTTCAGTCAGTCCGAGGGTAGGGCTGGGGACGGATGGCCGCCGGGGACTGAAAATGGTGTGGGTGCCGCCGACGACCGTGGCGGCGCCGCCAGCTCCCCCCACTGCTGGGGTTCCGGGACCTGAGTTCCCAGCACCGGCCCGCGATATAAATAGCTCCGCGGAAGGAAGGCGCTTCCGCCGTCGCTGACCCCACCGCGGTGCCGCGTCACATCTCGCCACATCCCAGCGCCGCGGTGGGGTCAGCGGACCGCTTCCTCCCACGGAACCTGCACGCACCCAGAGCTCCCCCGACACCCCCTGACCAGGCTCCCCTCCCCATATACCCCTCCCCCAGACACCGCACGCCTCCCTCCAGATACTTCTCCCCCTGAAACCTCTATCCCTAGACATCCCTACCCCCAGACACCCCTCCCCCTCGCACCACAGGACCCTTTCCTCCACACACCCTGACCTCTCCCTCCAGACATCACCCCTTCCCCCACCAACCCCTTCCCCCCAGACACCCAGACCCTTCCACCCCAACACTCCATCCCTCCCTTCCAGACCCCC